AGCTTAAGAGGCAAAAGGGTCCTTGAGGTACTTCATTGCGAACTGTTCGTGTGATTTACATGCATTTACCTATTTAGTACCTCATCTTCACTATTGTTGGATTAACGTGGCATCTTTAGAAGAATCTACATCAATCTACGTACAAAATTTCTACAATGATCTGCTCAAATGCCATGTAGCTTTTTTGCTAAGTAGAGAGTATGTGATAAATGTATTACCTGTTTGGTAGCACATTTTTGGACTTGGTATCAACAGATTCTAAGAAGCATGTGTTAGAGGGTAGAAGCGGATTATCTTTATGGTTCCTTTTGGACACTACCAACTTGACTGTAGCACAAAAATTCCATCAAAATGGACCACTAATGGACCTTTTGGGACTTGGTATAAACGTTTTAAATTACCTTAGAAGACCTTGATGATGGGCTGGCCTGAGAGCAAGTAGAAGTTCATAGAGAAATCACAAACCTTGGTTCAGGAGTAACCTTTTTGTGCCAATGGACCTCAGCATGAGTCTTTTTTGAAAGTTAACTATTTGCCTCCAAGATAATAGGGTCCCTCAGATGCATCATTAGTTGGCGCCTTTTGAATTGTAGCTTATTTGATCAAAAGATTTATGCACATGATATACTGCATATACTCATAATGTGACTTGCCAGTGCATAAGGTTTTTTTTTTTTTTTTTGTGAAATCTTTCCATAAAGCCACAAAGCATGTTGAAATAACTTGTGATTATTGTTGGTTAGTACGGATAATGCTAGCATTGTATAGGGTCTTAGTCCATCATATATTTTGCTACTGTTATTGATGTTGCTTGAAATCTTTATCTTTGACCTTTTAATACATTTCTTGGTGATTTGATGCTTAAATGACATGTTTGTGCTTATAGCTTATGCTTAGATTGCAGCTTTGCTTGTCATTTAGTTTATCATCTCGCTCACAGCTGTTGGAGTTGAAGTAACCATACCAAATTGTATTCCCATGTACCTCTCTTTCAACACTGGAAGTTACTTTTGTTTTCCTTTTTTGACTTTTTGCTTTCAGCTTGGTTGCAGTCACGGGCTTCCTGGAATTTTCGCTTGTTTGAAGGTAACGGCTTTAATGTAGTCTTTGTGCAGAAATTTAGGACAAATATAATTTTGAATTTAAGTTTGCAATTTCATTGGTGTGAATGTTTAGGAAGTATTTCTAAAACTCAATCTGGGCACACAAAGGGTATCAACCGCTGAAAGAAAATCGGTTGATTTGTGAGAAGTCGTGTCATGATTATTGTATTTGTTACTAATCATCACCGAGCTATGTGCATCGTTTCGAACCAGGACTTTCAGAAAGAATTCCTTTAATCCCAAAATTGTCAGTATCCCGGGATTCTGTGTTAACATTCCTTTTCTGTTCCTATATAAACCCCTCTCCTCTTGCCGAAATTTGGCCATACATTCAAAAACTAGCATATCGTACGTCTCAATCTCAAGCTTGTTGGAGTTGTCTATATGAATCTTCACTATCCATCATACTTCATTTGTGCCCTCGTTTCATTCTAATATTCAATAATTTAGGCTGTCTTGACATTTCAATGTTTTGACATTTTCTACAGAGATACAAATCTCTAACAAGATTAAAAGACTCATAACAACTAATGGACCTAATTTAGGCAAACCAAATGGCTAACTCTCAAGTCAGTATGGATTCTAGGAGATTGTAGGTCGTTTGAGACAACTTCCTTGCATGTGATTTTAGGTCTATCTCGTCCGCATCATCATCGTTACGCTTAACACCTATGGACTGGTGCATTTGGAGGTCGACTTGACCGAATCATTTCAGCGCTGTTCTCACGTATTATCCTCTAAATAAATGTGCTACTTGCATCTCTGCAGAATGTGTTTATTTCTGATCTTGAATAATTCAGTATGAACACACATTCATCTTCTGCAACACCCATCTCGTGGATATGGTGGACTTTAGAGGATATTTACCCCATATAACATTATTGGCCTAACAACCATTTTTTAGAACTTACCTTTCACTTTGGTAGATATCCTTCTACGACGTAACACCCGATAGCATTTTTCTATTTCAACCTTCCTATTTTATGGGCCTAACAACCATTTTATAAAACTTACTTTTCACTTTGGCAGGTATTCTTTTACAGCGTGTCACCCGATAAACATTTTTCTATTTCAACCATCCTATTTTAACTCTGTGTTACATTTTTATCTGGCATATCATTCCTGGAGCATCGAGCTTAGGTAATCTAAACTTTATGCTTTTTTAACTGTTAAGTTGTAACGGCACAAATTTGCAAACCCAACTTGTAGATAACGAAAGCTGTATTTGGGAATTCTATGATTTTCAAGAGATTTGCAAAGTTCAAAATTTGAGTTTTCGGTCAGAAGTATATCCTGGTCAAAATAGATATAACCTGTTAATTCCTTATAAAAAAAAATAGATATAACCTGTTAATGGAGCACCTTTTGGATCTTGCCAGACTCTATATTTAGTGACAAGTTCTCCCTAAGCAATGATCACTAATGAGCAGTTTGAAAGGGTTCCTCGTGATTAGGCTGTGAACATGAAGAACCTACTTGACCGCAATGGAAACAACGGTTTTTGTGTAAGGTCCCAAAGCATAGAATCTTTTAAAACCTCATAGGGTCCTGTTTTTTATCATTAAATTAGTTTTAAGAGCCTAAATGGTTCAGCTCCACAATTTGCATTCTTTGAGGATCTCACTGTAATTATCATCACTAGGGGGACTCAAATGATGCAGGAGGTGGATGTTAAGTTGAAATTTCAACTCATGTCACAACTCACAAGTGTGTGAATTCAAATGCCGGAATTACAAATTTATAGGAGTATGACATGGTAGCTGAAGTCCAACTTGTAGTGAACTTAATGGGTATAGTTGCATGGGACTCTTGGTTTCAAGTTACTAAAATAAACGGATTTAAAATAACTTCTTTGCAGGGAGCTTCGACAGTACATTTTCAAGACCTCAGTGCAGAAACTATAAGATGCACCACCATCCCTAATGTTTTAGCAAACCTTGAGCAGGCCCGTGATAGACAGAGCCGCCAACCTGAGAGTCCTTTGACTCCTTCAAGACAGGTTCTTGCTCCAGTGGTCCACTTTTATGCTGGAGAGTGGGAGGAACTCCCTACAGTCTTATCTGTGGTGAGGAATTATATATCCGAGGTACCAACAGGGATGAGCCTTAGCTTGTCAGAGGAGGATTTCATGGATGGCTGTAGTAGTCAAGAAGGTAGCATATTGGCGCAGGAGTCTTCCTTAAGGAGATCTAGGAAGCTCTCTGGAAGCAGAGCATGGGAGAGGGCTAATGACGCAGACAATGGCGAAGGTGGATATGATGTAATTTTAATGACTGAACTTCCCTACTCAGTGCCCTCCCTCAAGAAGCTACATGGGCTGATAAAGAAGGTATACATTACTCTTAAACCATGCTGATGAGTTTCCCTGTTTAGCTCCTATGTCTGATTTTACGCAACATCTATTCTTTTTGTTATCTATATTGGAGTATCTGACTATATGCTACTGCAATTTTCTATTTGCAAGTGCTGCTTTCTGTATGTTGCTAATTTAATTGAATAGTTCTGTCTTAACAATTTTTCACCTTCTCAAAACCACCAGTGTCTGAGGCCTCCCTATGGAGTAATATACCTGGCTGCTAAAAGGAATTATGTGAGCTTTAACAGTGCAGCACGGCATCTGAGAAGCGTGGTAGACGAGGAAGGTGTTTTTGGTGCCCATTTAGTGAAAGAGCTAACAGACAGAGAGATCTGGAAATTCTTTTTCAAATAAAAGGCGTTTCTTCAACAGCCGAAATTTTATTCATCTAACATTGTTCTTATTTTTATGCTTCTATATTTATTTATCTTACATGCGTTATGTGATGGTAGATTGACATTCAAGTATTAAGATGAAAGCATACGTGGCTTTGAGTCCTGTTGGTCTACTTATGTAGTTATTTTTGCTTGTGGACCTTTTCTTCCTTATCTTGAAGGTGTAAATTAAATGTACATTATCTTGATTTATACATGATGTAATGATTCTCCACTTGGGCTAGATTGAAATGTCACATTAATCATTAATTCCTTTGATTGGTTTGAAAGAAGTCGTGCAATTTTTTTGTTTCATAGTCAAATATGTATGTTTAGTTTCCCATGAGTTTTGTTGCTGTTGAGATAAATAAGTCGATGCCTAGCTCCTACGGATAGTGTGTACGAGACCTGGAACGCGAGGGGTACAATGTTTAAGGCCTCTCCTACAATCACTCTAGCCAATGTATTATGTTGCAAGCTTCTGACCGCCACCTAAATTTGTGGCGTGTTTGCCTCCTCAAGCTAAGGTGAGTTCAGAGCAACCAAACTTTTCTAATACCAGTAAAGTCTCTGCTGACTCTTCGTTTTACTTTTGAGCAAAATGTCTTACCAAACACGGAAGCATAATGATTAAATTTAACTTGTGATAATAAATTAAATAAACTAGACCCTTCGTTATGAGAAATCCAATTTGGTTCCGTGTTGCTTAAGAATTGAGATCCGAATCCTTTCTGAAGATAATAACAGTTATGTCATCTAAAAACATTTCCCCACTCCATGACGTCTGATACGGAGTACAGTTTTTAGGCTTCTTTGCTGATGATATTTCCATTGTGCAGTCTTTTTATCCTCCTTTTGGAGCAACCTTATGTCAAATTCTGTTAGCTGGCAATGGTTCGAGATCGACACACTAGCCAGCAAAACAAAATCAAACATACTTGTGACTTGGTTTTTTCTTGAGGGCAATTCCAAAACTTTCTTCATGATATCCTAGTAGGAGCTCGCTCTCGCTCTGCAACTGTGACTAATTAGCGTCAAAGGTTATAACGATATTTCCTCTTGGTATTCTTCATCACCACGTCATCAGATTAAAGAATCTAAAAATATTGACAACATTCTATGATAAAACTAGCCAACCCGACCCGATAGACAGAAAAATGCATATAAAACAAAGACTATCAAAGGTGTATAAAGTCGAATTTCATTGGTTACCAACAAGTGCAGATAGATAACATATCCTTCAAAAGCAATGCTGCTCTATAGAACACAAAATCCAATACATTGAACAAAATCATAAAGATAAGTCCATTCAAACCCTCTTGTCGCATAAGAAAATGAAATGGCATAAAACATGCAAAATTGGCTCCGAAGAAGGTGACTATCGCTTCTTAGAGACACCAACAGTCTTTCCTCGACGACCAGTGGTCTTTGTGTGCTGACCACGGACTCGAAGACCCCAGTAGTGGCGCAAACCACGATGATTCCTGCCACCATCGGATGGTTAGATAAAGGATAAGCACAGACAACAAAGGTTTTCTAACAACTTGTACCAATAGTAGTTGATTGAGAATTTCCAATAAAACATATGACATGTTAACAACAAAGTATAGGAGGGAAAAGACCAACCTGATCTTCTTCAGGCGTTCCAGATCATCCCTAAGCTTCATGTCCAGGGCATTAGATGTAACCTGCGAAAACTTACCATCCTTGTAATCCTTTTGCCTATTCAAAAACCAGTCAGGGATTTTGAATTGACGAGGATTTGCCACAACAACCATCAAGCTATCGAGTTCAGCAGCAGAAAGTTCACCCGCCCTAGAGAAAAGATTAGTAGCATAAATTTAGACAACTTTGCAAGAACTAAAATACCAAAACGGGAAAATTCAGTTCAGCACAAAAGTTTAGAACAGTCTGTGTGGAAATGTTGCGTGGTAAAAACGCTCCTTTGATAACTACTAATTAAACTTATTGGTAAAAGATCAGCTACCTTCCTCATTCATCAATCTCAATCTCTGAGCCATAGGCTAACTCCTTTTTTTTTTTTAAATGAAGGCGGTGTCCAGACCAGCTCACGTCGACTAAAGATAACAGGTACCTTCGCAAATCATATGCAACTTACTCACCCAACTATTAGTTATTTCTCGAAAAAAATAACAACAAGGCATAGAATACAAACCAATTATAGTTGCGGAAAGAATCGTTAGGTATCCATTTTCAATTTTAATTTGGCGATGGAGCATTCTCTATAATGAAAATATAAATTCAAAAGTCGAGGTAAAATGGGGGATCTAAATCCAAAATTGAAGACAAAAATAACAGTACATAATACTCCAATAACACATAAGCACGCCGAAAAGGTTTAAGAGGCTTAGTTGCAACAAAAACAATGATGAAATCAATATTAGAGCTTCATTACGTATTAGTAGGAAGAGAAAAAGAGAAGGGAGTACCTCTTGCTCATATCGATATCGGCTTTCTTACAGGCAATGTTAGCGAAACGACGGCCAATACCTTTGATAGAAGTCATTGCGAACATTATCTTCTGTTTCCCATCGACGTTCGTGTTTTGCACACGAAGTATGTGCTGAAACTCTTCATTTGCAACCAGCGACTGCACCCCAAAACCATAATCACTAACAATTCGAAAGAGCAAACAAATACATATGCCTATATAAATCTCACCATCCCTTCGGTTTCGAATCCTGCTCTGCAGTGCGGCTGTTTCGTTCACTCCTCAAGAGATGCACAACTCCCAAAACCCTAACGCTGGTGGAATAGTATCAGCTTATGTATATATATATATATATATGCGACAAAAGGACAATATAGTAATTGACCATCTAGTGAAGTTATTTTGTAATTTGCACTTGTAATGCACGGATTTTTGGGATAGTGACAGTTGTCTCTCTTAAGTTTTCCATTGTGTGCTTAAGAAAAAGTTAGGTTACACCATAAAGATCTCAATAAGTGAAGATTAGTTTTGCAACGATAATAATCAACAACAACATACCCAGTGTAATCTCATAAGTGGGATCTGGGGAGGATAGAGTGTACGCAGACCTTACTCGTGCCTTAAAAAAATAGAGAGGCTGTTTCCGGAAGACCCTCGGCTCAGGATTGAGAAATGTTAAACCATAAAAAACTCAAAATTAGAATAATAATAATAATGATAATTAATGAACAAATACATCAAAAAGTAATTGCATAGCAGATTGAATAATTTTTGCTTCACCTTCAAATTTTAGAAAAGATAATTGTGCAAAATAAAATACCCTAGTAATCTTTAACAATGTTAATTGCCTTTTATTACCCATCTTTTCTCTAAGATGTTTACTCCATCATCATGTCATTTATATTGAGCTCAAAAATGTATATTTTTTATAAATTCTTTCTTGGAGGACGTCTGATTTTTAAGAGTTAAGTACGTTTCCATCCTTCTCTCCCTAAAGCCTTCAGTATTTCTTCTCATGTGATACTTATACATTTACTAGGTGGTGTTTGCCCGTATGTGCAATAAAAAAGTTTGTATATGTAATGTAAAATGTTGTTGTGATCCTATGTACTCTTGGTTAGAAGAGCCAACTGTTTCAAAACAACACTCTAAAAACTGCTCCCAAGCTCTTCTATACCGGACGACATCATATTGGATATGCCTGCAAGGAAGTTAAACTCCAATTCCAAAACCAGACTCATCAGGAGAAATAGTTATGTTTGTGACAGTAAAACATGATATGCATTGTTCCTTTAAATATTCAGCTCATGATGTGAAACCCAGGAAACTGAAGAGAAATCTTAAAGAGAAAGAACGATGACTCATTGTAGTAAATCAAAATAGAAGAGTACATCATTAATTAATTATTCGTACATAATTAAAGGGAACAAAATAAATAAAATATGTTATTTTCCTTATGAGAGGTGTTCCAATATGCCAAATACAAAAGTATCATGGCCACAGTCATTTGACAATTGGGCTTGGCCCAACTCACTTTGTTTGTTGTAATTGCCAACCTTGATTGCAATCACTGAATCACATGATTAATGTTGCTACCAATCCTTCCTACTGATGCAATTGTGGTCTCAGATAATGCGAGGAAAAACGACGTTGTATAACTGTTCTCAAAATAATAGTCGAAAATATATATTGTTTGTATATTTTTTTTATATAAATACATTCTGTATGTTATATACAAAAATTTTGTATTTTTCCGGCTACCGAATGTTAATGATTTCTGGCGCGAGCTAATTCGTCATTGTAATCCTATAATTAAAACTACAAACAGAAGATGCTCATGTATAAATATTGCACAAGCGAAAAAAGCACTAACACCAATCTTTAGTTGAGGAAACAACCAATCTTGCAGCAAATAAGTTGTAAAACAGGGATACCAAACATAAGCTCAACCACTTTGATCTTCAAACAAATTAATCGACATAAGTTACTCAGATTTTTCTCTCTCGGTAAGCAAGTTCACTCTTCTTCTCACACGGTAATCAAACATTTTCCAGCAAATTTCAGCAGTATCCTTCAATTAAAGTTTTCTATATTGAAAATAACAAAGGCATAACAGTGCTTCCTGGTGAAATCTAGTATTAGTTCTATGTTATTCACATTCAAAGATTTACGCCAAAAGTACGAAAAAAGAGCAGGATATTTTGGAAGTTGAACAGAAGTTTGGCCACCTTCAAAGCATCTTGGCCAAACATAAGCTATTGTGTGTTTCCTTCTTTGCATATAAAAATTAGAGTTAGCTATATTAATCCTCAATGTCCAGTCACTCTATTTAAGCCCATCTACGTCTAATATTATGAAATCACAGCTCAGCTCTGGAAAGAGAACCAAATCATTTACTGTTACAGGATTCAGTATTTGCTAATTCAATGACATTCAGTAAATCCACAGTCCACAAAGACCCTTTACGCACACAAAGAGAGAAGATAAGCCTTGTAAAGAATCTGAAATGACACTTTGAAAAAAAATATGAATTGAATTTACGAAAACTGATTGAAGGACCTAAAAAAGGATTCTGTCAATAATAAGAATCTTGATAACTTTATAAAATCTTAAAAGTTTTGTAAGTGAGATTTGGTATCTTTATGTTGATTCTCAATAATTAGACTGTTGCAAAAGCAAGAAATTTAACCATGTATTCGATAAACTTTTCATGCTTTATGACATCACTTTTTGGTGTTGGTTTTTTAACATTAATAATACTTACATGTTCTCATCTATACTATATTAAAAGCACGAAGGCCCTTAAAGAAATGTCATTCGCCTTTTTACCCTTTAAAAATAGAGTTCACATTAGATAAAATAGTCATTTAATTATTTTTCTAATATGTAGGAATATGCATTTAATTATTTTCCTAATAATTAGCACTTTGAGTTTTTAATGTTATCATTTAATTATTTTTCTAAAATCTAGTACTTTGAAATCATTTAAAATTTTAGTACTTATAAAATCTTTCCTTATCTGAACTAGAATTATTTTTCTTTAATTGTATTTGAACTCTTTTCTTTGTGTGCATGGACGTACCACTACTAGAAATCAGGTGATTTCCGTCCACAATTTCCGACCGAAATCGGTCGGAAATTGATAATTTCCGACCAAATTCCGATTGTTTTTAATTGGACGAAAAAATAATGGTCGCAAACGTAGACCGACCGCAATTGGTCGAAAATTTCCGACCGAAATCAGTCAAAAAATATTGGTCGAAAATTTTCGATCGAAATCGGTCGAAAAATTCAATGCGCTGACTGCCAGTCAAACTTTATTTTCCGACCGAAATCGATCGGAAACTTTTAGTATTTATTTTTTTAATTTTAGTTTTCCGACCGAATTCGGTCGAAACTTTTAAAAAATAATAATATTATTTAATTAAATAATTATTCATAAATTGTTAATTTATTTAAAAAATAAGTATAAATTCATAATTTCCGACCGAATTCGGTCGGAAATTTCAATAATCGGGGAATTCTGGATAAAAACTGGGCAGAAAATGGCTGCTTTTAAGCTACACCACCTACCAATATACATCCTAATGGTAGCTTACATTGCTGCCATTCAACCATGAAAACCCAACAAAATAACAACTAATAACCAACAACAACTAATAACCACAACCACAACTAATAACCACAACAAAAACTACTAAAGTGTTCAATAACAAAATAACAATATTATCATCATTCAAATAACCAACAACAAAATATTGACAAGTTCACAACTTTGTTTAACAATACACAACATTTGAGTTTTTTTATGTAGCATCATCTCCATCTTCGGTCCTAGGACCTTCATCGCCGACGGGTGGGAAAGGAGGAGGAGACTGGGGAATGGGGAAAGCAACACAAGCAAGAAGAACTCATCATGACTCATTATGCCGCTTAAAACAAAATAAAGCATTTAAGCAAACAAATTTTAAATGTAGAGATTGGAGAAACAACCTTAAACTAAACATGGAATACTTAAGAGTTATTACTTCCCCTCAAAGAGAGATTTTTCCAACTTGTTTTTATCAGCTTTTTAACTGAGATCAGAGAGCAAATAAAATCTGCAGATGAAGAATCAAAATTAATTTTCAGTACTTTCACGGCACATATAATACATTGTCAAACTCGGGAAATGCAAATTAAATTCTTGTTGAATAAATGGTTCCTTGATGCTAGTTAGATCAGGAAAAATATTCTGCCAGATGCAAATCTAACCCAAGTGCCCATTAGAATAGACTAATTAAAATAAATTTAAGGGAATTTTTTAACTCAGTTCTTAATGCTTAGATTACAAAGGAAAAACAGTTAGAAGTTAAAATCCATTATTTGGATAATGAAAGGATTTATTGAAATGGCTGGAATTTTACAATTTTCGTCCCATGAACTCGAATACATTAAAATTGAAGACCTGCAAGCTGAATTGAATTCTTCCTCTTTTTGAATCTATTGTCTACGTCACAACTTTTTCAACGATTAAGCACCTCAAGGACATCAACTTAATCATATAGTTAAAACTGTGCATACACGTATATTTTATAAAAATATGAAAAGTGATAAGGTCGAGAAATTGTGACGACCCGACCCGTCGTCTCATGAGTTACCGTTCTGTTTCCCCCATTTTCTGTTTCTTTATGCTCATTATCAGCGTCTTGTGTGATCGAGTTGGTTTGGAGTGGTTTTAGCAGGAAATGAGACACTTAGTCTCTTTTAAGAAGGCTTGAGTTGGAAAAGTCAATCGGATGTTGACTTATGAGATAGAGGGCTCGGATGCGAATTCCGATGGTTCGGTTAGCTTCGGGAGGTGATTTGTGACTTAGGAGTGTGATCGGAAGTGGTTTTGGAGATATGTGAGATTTTGATCCGAGGGTCGGAATGGAATTCCGAGAGTTGCTGTAGCTTCGTTATGTGATTTGGGATGTGTGTGTAAAATTTCGGGTCATTCGGAGGTGAATTGGTTGGGTTTTTGATCAAATGCGTGTTTCGGTAGTTTTAGAAGAACTTAGGCTTGAATTCAATGTGAATTGATGGTTTTGATGTTGTTTGAGGTGTTTTGATGATTGGAGCAAGTTTGAATGAGGTTTTAGGGTGTGTTGGTGCTTTTGGTTGAGGTCCCGGGGGCCTCGGGTGAGTTTCGGATGGTCAATCGGACCGATTTTGGCATTTAGGAGTTGCAAATTTTTCATCTCAGCTGTTGCAGAAGAAATGGCCTTCGCGATCGCGTAGAGGGATTTTGCGTTGGCCGGGATTTTTCTCTTCGCGTTCGCAGCTACAGGGCCGCGATCGCACATTTTTGGAAGGGGA